GTAAACATATTTAACAGATTTCAAACAAGCCACATAAAAAAATCTCTACTCAACAATGCGACTTAGTCAAGAATGTGAAATAGAAAGAGACAAGAAACTCATTTCTGTGCCTCGCAAAGAAAAATACAAATCAATATGAACATACCTCTAAGATGGGTGCGAACACAACTGTGTTTAAAATTAAATTTATTTAAGCTATAACCACCCTCTCTGTACAAGAGCATTTTTTTATAAATGTATATTGGCAGAAAGTTAATTGTTTTCTTGCTTTGTAGATTGTTTGTGTGCAGTCTTAAATTCCAACAGATCCTTGAATTTCAGTGCATTTGGCTTTAAAAACAGTTTGTTAGTGTGTTCCCCATATTCAATATATTGCTTAAGATCCTTACGGCTCTGTCTTATCGTATGCATAATGATTGTAGGGTGCTGCTCAGTCCCTCCACACAGTAGTTCAGATACAATGATACCATTCAAAAAAACAGTGTACCATACTTTATGATCCAGACTGTGAACTGCAACGCTCATTGGCAACTTTGCTGGCACATATCTTACATGAGGTTCCACATTTTGTTCTCTAATATCACACCCAGAAATGTATTTTCATTTACTCTTTCACTAACGTTGGGCCTCATTCACAAATATCTTCCTCAGCTTGTTCTTAAATATGTTCTTGAGAACGGTCCTAAGAAGAGTCTAAGTCAGATTTGTGACGTGTTCTAACCTGTTTTCTAATAAAGAGGAATCTTATCATCCAAGTGAATTGAAGGCATGTGCCAGTTGATCAGTTAGCATCAGTAAACGCCCTGTTAATCCTGCATGAGACTGCATGAGCCTGCAGGGCCATTTGCACACAGGTAAATTGAAAAGAAAAATTGAGAGTTAAGTCAAAAATGCCCAAACAAATGTTTGAAGAAGGTGGAGCACTGGACCAAAGTTTATAAAACAAATATGCTCAATTATGTTAAAAAGAGTGTATCAAGATTAATTTCTGTGTTATAATTGCTCATAAATTATGTTGGAAACCACACATTAATAATGTAAATACAAAACTGCCTACAGCCATTGCAACATTATACAAAACTAAAGATCTCTTGAATCAGAACTCCCTGTATTGCTCTCTCCTACTGTGTGGACGTTTGGGGAAACACATATGAAACCAACACATAGCTGCAATTTTCATGCTCCAAAAGAGGTCTATAATAAAAAATATAATAAAGCTATCAGATTATTACAAACAAACCAATGCTCTATTAATTCTCACATGCCTTACATTCTTGTGATCCAGTTGATCTTGAAACTGCACAGGTAATGCACAGAGGAACAATTTCAAACAGTTCAGAGGTTGTTTGAAATTAGAGAGAGCCTGTGTGGATTTAGGGAAATAGGCATGTTTAAAAGAAGGAATTACAAATGGGTAGTTCAATTTGCAAATTTTTATTTTTTCTAAAGTGGTAAAACAATATAAAACATTTGGAACTTTGTTTTTGTAAATCTAGTAGCGAAAGAGTTAGGTATTAGAATACGCTTTGTTTAAAGGATAGGAGTAATAAGCTTAAGCTTCAGCCCCCACCTTTTGGGTCAGTATGCTTTTCTTTTTCCTTTAAGTTAATGCCTTATTGTTATGTATTTATTTACAAGTGCATTCTTTTTGGAAAATTGTCAACAAGGACTGGAATAAATCATTGCTACTACTTTTACTTCTACTACTCCAAACGTAAAAAATAAATAAATCACAAACAAGAAATGACAGCAGACGACAGTAAACCACAATAACATTTATTCATAGGCTGTGACGCGTTCCAACATGTTGTTTCGTCGGCTGTGTGAGGACACGTGGATGTTAATGGCGGCAATTCAAGCACACACGTTTGGATATTGTGAATTTCTGCATAGCCACCTCGCCTACGGCTAAAAGGGCGGCCATACACCAGATTTGTTTCCAGTATCCAAGGCAGCTCCCCCCTTTAAAATACTGCTATGTAGCGAAATCATTATTTTGACACAGTTCAAAAGCTCCACTAAACGTTCCGCTGCCAACATCATTACATTAGTAGCATCAGTGGATGTTGGACTGCTTGATAGAAGCTAGCTAGCTTTGTTCATCTTGCTGCTGCTCAGAGCAGAAGCCCTTCGACTGCACACGTCCCTGAACAGTCTGAACGCCCAAGACTTTATCATCCGTTTATAATAAACTGTCTCGTCTCTGAACGTACTTTTCTCTCCTGATTGAGTTGACAGCTGATTGGCCAATAATTACACAAGGAGGCAGGACATTTATGAATTTGATTGGATAGAAATTTAAAACAAAGTGACTTTGTGTCAACAAACTTATATATTCTTTGAACCTTTAGCTTGTTGGAGACCCCTGGATCAGACTATATCAGTGACATTTAACTTTGATTTCTGACTGTTAAGTCATTAAAAATACAGTTTGGTAATCAACACCACATTCTATCCTGGCTTGGAGGAGGGATGCATGCATATTGTACTGTATTTTAAAGATAACAATGAAGATAACATGTACATGTTGCTCCTCGTAAAGTGTGCAAAGGTCAGCTCGCTCCTGATAAATACCAACCAATTCTTCCCATCCCTCTGGAAGCTCTCAGTCATTTGATAAGAGAGTTTTATACAACGATTCAATGTTGCACACATGAAAACTCGATGAGAGAAATTATGCTTTTTATATATAAAAAAAAAAAAAAAAAGATTATTTCTGCCACTCTGTCCTCAAAGAGATGTTTGTTGAACTCAATCCCACTGTGTTTACATCGTGGTCAGTAGTTAGCGTCATTATTTCACAAAGACATACCTTCATCTGTCGTTAGTACTCTCATGTAACACCTACATTCAGATTTCCCTTATGGTCTCAAAATACACAATCAAGATTTACAATAAGACATTGATTGCTGACATCTAAATATACACAAAACAGTCTACATGTATACTCATGTCTGAAATAAGATATCCATTTTTAAGACTTCAATATAAATTAGATCCCTCGTAAAAAAATATCCACCTTTCTGAAACAGTCTAAAGGCTGTGTATCAATATATATTTAAAAGTACTATAAAATGGAATGTGTGTTAGAAAAACAACAAAATAGTTTAAATCTGCCAATGAAAACATCTCATCAGAGATTTCTAACCTACACGCATAAACACATATGACTTAAATCCTAAAGCTGAAGAAACAGACATTTTCTGACGGCATTAAGGGGCTGAGGGCTGTAACGATCACAAGAGAATACTCAATCAGCACCAGCTTTAGGTGAAATATTTTATAAAATGTGGCTCCTAAGGCACAACCCCGACAGTCCCCATATGTAGTCATTTTTTTTGCTTTACTGCAAAATGGTAAATTCTTTGTACGTTACTTGATTAAAGTGTCTAAAGTTCAATTGTGAAGGTAATTTTATTAAGTCCTTTAAGCAACTTCCATAATAATGATTTAAAAAACACATTTAAGTCCATTAGCTCAGGTGAAATATGCCAACAGCACGAATATCAAAACAGGTATTCAATGTCAGTGACTGACAAAATATATTAAAATGAATATCTCCACATTTTCGATGGTATTCCACATATTATCCTAGTATTGTAGGATAAAAGAAAAAAATCCCAAACAACCGGACGATTGAACGAATCCGACTGCATGTCATCTATAGTTATCAGAAACAGCAGTGATCATATAAATGAGCACATGCTGATATGTAATATGTAAGATTTAATAACATTTTTTAGAATAAAGCACCGCCCTTTGCTGATCCATGATACTGTGAATGATTCCGCAAATTCTAAAACAAATCGGTGCCAAAATACAAACTCCTAACATCAAGTATCGCTCTTGTAATCTGCCTCTTACAGCCAGGGAGTCCAAAGCCAAGCCAGCAGCATAAACAGTAGAATTAGTTCACTTTACATCAAAGCAGTTAGTCTGGAAGGGAAGGCACATTAAGGCTTTTGCATATCCTACAACATCTAACACATCACTTGGACTTGGCGTCCAGCACTCGTTTAACTTTCTTCAGCATGAAGGCAGCGATCAGCACACACACAGCCAAAGTGGCCGCGTACAGTCCCACGAAGACTGCCGCCTCGCCGCTCCCGTGCAGACGCGAGTACAGCTCCCTGCGGCCCACGTAGTCGAGGTGGGACGCGTGGATCTGACACAGGGTGCAGCAGGACAGAAAAACATGGAACAGCTGATGACTCTGTCCCACGAAATTGCACCGTCCAGGGAAGCAGCGCTCCAGCAGGGGGAAGGTGAAGAAGAAGGAGCAGCTGAGAAAGAAAGCGACCTGGCCAATGTGGTAGACGATGGCCGGGTCGTCGCCGGCTGCAGACTGCGACACGAGTCTTTTAGCCACAGGGCTGCTGTCCCACATGTAGGCAATCGCTGAGGGCACCACCTGGCACACCTTACGCACCCACGTCGGTAGGCTGTGGTTGCAGTACTTGCCATAGCAGCATCCCAGGCACGACAGGCAGCTGAGGACGGCGGCAGCGGGCATGAAGACGCCACTCACGTGTCTGTGCAAGCTCTCATCCACAGCGTAGTAGAAGTGAACGATGGCACTGCCGTACTGATACTGCGCTACCCCGACGTAGTCCAGGAAGAAGAAGACGTAGTGACACAGCTCAGACTTGCCAGCCAGCAGGTGAGCTGCCGCACTGAACGCCGAGTAGGTCAGGGAGGACAGGAAGAGGATCAACAGGGGCCACGAATGGGGATCGCCGACAAAGTCCACGGTCTCGGCGAGCTGCCGGAACTTAACCAGGAGAACTAAGAACGCCAACAGGTGAGTCCAGACGTTGATGGTCTCGTTGTGGCGCTGGAATAGAGACAGGAAGTAGTAGCGCCACTTTTGGTTGAGCGGTCGGTAGCCGGTGCAGACGTAGCGCTCCCTGAAGTAGTACGGGACCTCGGTGTCCCTCACGGTGCCGGGCATGGAGGGTGCGGCCTCAGTCAGCATCCGGGGGACCGCCCTGATCTGCTGCAGGCTGATGAACACTCGCCCGATACTCTCCATCACAATGGTCGCCATCACGGTCAGTAGCTGAGAGATGCACACTGGGTTCCTGCAGAGATTGTAAGTGTTTACAGCCACACAAATTACATTTTTGTTGTTGTTGTTGTAGAGATATAAATATCAAACTAAATACTTCAGCAGGGATCATCAGTAATCAGATGCGTCTCCTCTCCTGCATGTATTCATGGTGCTTTATCTTTTTTGTTAAAGTTCTGCAAGTTATCGCGGTTGTAAATGTGGTATCTCTTTTAAAGTTAACATTATCTCGGGTTAGTGAGTTTGCCACTGTAGGTTCATACGCTTTCTATGTTTGTCAGAAATAGGTCATTTGAGTGCTGAAACATAGTCAATGTTTAACCCTGTTGTTAGAATTAAGACTCAAGAGTGTTGCCACAGTGATGAGTGGCTTCCTTGAGCCACATGTTGAAGATGTTAAAATCCGTCCGGTAAAATCCACAAGCTCCATAGCTTTGGAGTCTTTCTCTTTATTGATATGAGCATTCAGTTATTTATCGATACCAAGTGAGTCCAGCTCTCAGGCTTCCTGCAGTAACAGCGATGGCTGGTGTTATGTAATGATGAGCACCGACAGTTCTGCTCTCACAAACTGTGTTGAAAAAAACTAAAAAAGGCAGATTGCAATCCCTCCCTCCTTTGCAGTTTTGTCTGTCTGGCATATCTGTCTGCAGGACAAGCAGTAGCAGTCTGTGAAACAAGAGTGGATGACATTATATAACTTTCACTTGTGTAAATATGTCACAACCCTCATTGTTTGTTCCCATCACTGGTGAAAGCATGCCGCATCAAAGGGACTTCATCTGGGTTCACTGGATCGAGTCGGGTCTAATTAACCGTCCTGTAAAAAGCTCCGGGACTGAACCCGAGGCAGTTCACTGAAGTTCTGCCCTCCGCCCGAAACACAGGCGTAACTTATTAAATCCATTATGCATCACTTTAACAGGTGACCTAATTTATTGACTATTTACCCACCTTGTAATGATTTCTGGTTTCCTTCTGTGCTCCCGCAGTGGAAATGAACTCTTCCTCCTCCTCCTCCTCCTCCGCCCGGTCGAGACAAATATTCAACAGACTTGTTCCGAAGTGAGAAAGTTGCATCAAGCTGACGACCTTTAAACACAGGAAGTCTACCGATTTGTCCATAAAGAATAAAACAATGTAGAAATGCTAAAACTGATTGATCTGCATAAATGCATATGGATCAAATAAAAATGTTTAATTCAATGTGGCTTTATTGACATGAACGTTTCACGAAAAAAAATAATGTATCAAAGCATCAAAATATAAAAGTACAGAATAATATTAATATGAATATCAACACAATATGAAAACAACATGATTGCCATATAATAATGATATATATATACACAATATATATATACACATTTCAATAAACGTGTGTTTCTGAGTATGTGTATAAATAATAAAAGAATATAGTCTATATATCTAATCTAAATTTAGCCTAGGTTATTTGACCAAACTGTAGGCTAGTCAGTCATCAGTCATTGCTCAGGTCTGAAATGTATTTCTTAGCTTGGTGGGGCAATAATTAGGCTAGTACATTATGGTGGAGCATGCCTGGTTATTGAATGTCAAAAGGTGTTTTATTTTGAAAACGGACACCGGAAACCCCGCTGTGCTTATAACTTGCCACTCACCGGGCGAATCAAGAGGAAGAAGGTGCTTTTCTAAAAAAGACTAAATAGATGCAAAAATACCGAAAGAAAAGCGGATGTGAGGTGTCAAATGTGTAATCGTATAAGACAACATGAATGTTCAAGCTTGAGTAATGAAGGAAGTTGTTTTGTGGCGTGTTTATGGACAAATGGATATTACCTATATTTGAGAGGATATTAAAACGTCCTTCAATCTCTGAGCAATTCACTAACAATCTAACCCCTCGGTGGATGCAAAGTCAAGAAGAGTCCTTAAATAGCATTTAAGTAAGAACAACTAGCAGAGAGAGAGAGAAGAGCGAGAGAGAGAGAGGGGGGGGGGGGTATTCTGACTGTGTGGGTGTGAACTCCTGGAGCATTCTTTGTCCATGAATCTGCTCAGGAGTTAACACAGACCTGATAAAACTGAATATATATCACACAGGCTAGCAGCTGACGACGAATACTCCAAACAGTAAAGATAAGCGGACCACAAATACTCCAAACAGTAAAGATACTTATCAAAATGTGCATATTTATTCAGGTGTGTTGGTGTTGGACGAACCCAACAGGCATGTGGGGACAAGTCAGAAGCTTTCATGGAAATATTTGGTGGTTGTAGGCAATTATATGGCGGCAATAAAAAAAAAAACATTGCTCTCACTTTAACACTCCTTTGCATATTTTCTAAATAACGGATAAGGTCAAAGTGGATACAAGAACAAACTCCACACAAGTAAATGTGCTTTTTAATAGACAAAGGTAAAGTCCCAGGATGCATGTAGCTGACTGAAAGCATTCATTTGCAACTGAAAGATAATTATGGGATATTACAGTGACATTGACTGTTATAATAGCAGTGTGACATTTTAGGAAAATATGCTCTCATGTCAGTTGAGTCTGTAGAGTTACGGTACAGCTAGTTAAGTCAGCTTAGTTTAACATAAAGACTCGAAACAGCTAGTCTACCAAAAACAGTCTGGCACATGACCCCCCATAAAACTGCAACTTGTAGTTTTTACACTTTGGTTTTGAGGTGCTGGTAACCTCTGTTTCTACAGTCCTTCGATGAAGCTAAACTGACATTCTCCTTGCTCCTCTCTCTGATATTAATCGTATCCGTTTTTGCTATCGCGAATAGGAGTATTTCCAAAGAAAGTGCTTTCAGTATCACTTTAACTTTTGCCTCAAGGGGTGCGAGCACTTTTTAAAGGGTTTTAGAAAAGATTCTAAAGTCTAACAGTAGTCAGAAATGTCCCTGCAGTTTGAGTTTTACCTGTTGAGCATGAGAGCATCTAACAGTCTCAAACAGTACAGGTTTGGACATTTACCATGTCTGCGCTTTGTCTTAAACTTGGCTGACAGTACTGAGGCCTTTGAAAAATACTGTATTTTCATTGAATATGTTGCCAGGAAACTCCTTGAAAGAAGACATTTTTGGAAGGTGAGGACATTTTGGCCTGTCCTCGTTTCTTAAAAAGATGTTTGAGGGTAAGGACTTGGTTTTAGGTTGATGGTTAGAATTAGGATAGGGTTAACAAGGTTAACAGGTTAGAGGATGCATTGCGTATAGACAGTGGGATCCAGACATCCACCCCTCCACTCACTCCTCCATTTCCGTGACTGCCGTTCGCCTTGCTCAGAGGCCATCCTCACCACATTATCACTACTTTAGGAGCAACAGAAGAAACATGGCGGCTGGCAGTAGCACGGTTTTGCACTTTGCAGCTCACAACACCGGAGTTTCACAAGCGCGCCGAAGAACTACGGTGGCCTTCAGGTGAAAAAATGTTGAAGGCTCTCGCTTGAGTCAGTGTTTGGTTTGTCCGTTCTGGGCTAGAAACACGGCGGTGCAACCTGGCGGACTCCTTGAAGAGAAAGATCCTTAGTTTTCTTATAAAAATCAGTGCATTGCATGTAAACCTACTTATGAATATACAGTATTTATTATACATATATACATACGTATATATGTTTCATATATGTGTAGGCCTTTATTCCATTTCTGCTAATAGATCCCCTACACACTGTACCTTTAAGAGAAACAGAATGTTGTCGATTGTTTGCATATTTGTGAGGGTGTGTATACTTAAGGATGACAAGAAGAAGAGGGGGAAAGCTTCCCAGATGTGAAAGATGTTCTCACTCTGTCTGACTGAGTTCACTGAAAAAACATCAGGAATAGTGAGTTTGACTTTCAGACTGAGAACTGGGATTAAAAACACTATAGCTGCTTTCTATCTGCTTAGAAAGTGTTTTCCTTGATCAACAGTTCTCTCCTGTACTGAAGGGTAATTAGTTCACAGTGTACCAGAAACCATTCACTGTGATTCACTGTCAGTGACCTCAGAGGAAGGATTTCATCTAAGAAGCTGGCCACATTTAAGTGTACAAAGTGTTGAAGGCAGCAACAGCATGATATTAAATAACCACATCACTGACATTTTCAGCATATCACTGTCACAGGAGAGTGTTCCTACCAGCTTCAAGACAGCCACCATTGTTCCTGTACCTAAAAAGTCTGCAGTGTCCAGTGTCACTCATTCACCCACATTCTGAGGAAGTGCTTTTAGAAACAGGTTTCTCCAGCTCATCAAAAACAACATCCCAGCCAGCCTGGACCCTCACCAGTTTGTGTACAGAGCCAACAGATCCACAGAGGATGCCGTCTCCACTGCTCTCCACTCAGCCGTCACTCATCTGGAAAGTAACAGCACCTACATCAGAATGTTGTTTGTTGATATCAGCTCAGCCTTCAACACAATCTCACACAAGAAACTGATTGTTAAAGTTGGTGGAGCAAGTTAGCAGCTTTAAGTTCCTGGGAATCAGCGTCACAAACAACCTGACATGGTCCTCACACATCTCCATCCTGCCAAGTTCTTGGCAACTTTTACAGAGGAGCAATAGAAAGCATCCTGACTGCAAACATCACAAACTGGCATGGGATGTGCACGGCCCAGGACTGATTAAAACCATCTACTGAGCATCGGTGTTATTGGTGAGAAGAGGAGCCTGCGAAGATCTAAGGGGATATTAAAAGACAAAACCCACCCCAATGACAACCTGTTCACCCTGGTGCTGTCTGTAAAAGCTGCCGAACCACCAGACTTCAAAACAGCTTCTTTCCAAGCTCTCTGAAAGTGTTACATTCACGTCACCAGTAACTTTCTTTCTCTTCACAGGTTTAGATATATAAGACATCTGGTAAACCTCTGATAAACACACATCGATCTACTGAGCTTCAGGGTTTTCACTCCGTCACTCCCTTTCTCGGTACATTTATGGCTCTCTTATATACTTCCTCTTGCTTACCACGCTCACTTCCTCAATAAATTAATTTCCTGTCTCAGGCCTGTGTCATTTTTTTTATTATTGCCCAAAAATTCTCCTTCAGATTTCTTGTTGCATTTTAGTCTGTTGGTGATGGATTGATTTTTAGGTCAACATATACTATTTTATATCTATATTTTTCTTCATCCCTGCACCTGCACCTGGACTTGTACTTCTCGGGGCATGGTATATGTGTCTGTGTGTGTGTGTGTGTGTGTGTGTGTGTGTGTGTGTGTGTGTGTGTGTGTGTGTGTGTGTGTGTGTGTGTGTTTCTAAGTTACACCAATTTGTTGATTTGTTTATCAAAATAAAATCATCAGTATTTCACCAAAAAAGAGATGGATTAGAAACTATTACCAAGTTTGCAAAGCAAAAAAAAAAATGGCTTCAGGGAGCCTAAAAAGCTCCAGTGTTGCTGTGTTGAAAATTGTTTTCTGTCATTGGATTAATTGAAAAGTTATTAGAGAATTTGCACTTAACTAAAATACAATATCTGTTCAGGCATTATTAGCTAATCTTGTGGCTCTTTCATGCAGAAGAATAGATTTCCTGTGTTGAAATCTGTAGTTTCCACACTTGTGTTATTTTGTTTTGTATTCACATACCTCACAAGGTTCACATTCATACTAGGGATAAACCAATCCGACTTTTCCAGTCCAGGTACTGATAGAGAGACCTCTGCTTTGGGTATCAGCTGAAACTAGTACCGATCTGATACCAGTGTTTATTTAATAAGCTGTATGCCTCACTGTGTGGAGAGACTGGGGTCATTGTTTTATGTGTAAGGCAACACCAAGCTTACTTTCATAACTTGCTTCCTTAACTTTGTGAAACAAAAAGTAACGACTAATCAAAGCTGCAAGCAGCATTGATCGGGCCCTCGCAACTTCACGCACGTCGAGGGTACCGAAAGGACTCTGGGTGATGCGGCCATGCATTTCTGTGACCATCAAACACTGCGTGCACGAGTTAGATGATATTTCCTGCGTCGACCAGCAGCGTAGCAAGGTCATGTTGCCAGGTGTTAAGCCTCAAATGCTTTGAGTGTACCTCCGATACAATCATAAATGTAAGCCTGTTAA